GGGAGGACCGGTCTCGCCGCCGCCTCCTCCTCTTCGGAGCCGCCGGCAGGCAGGGCGGGGGGGGGAGACCAGAAAACAAAATATACTGTGCAAAATCCTGGGTCAAGAATACTCTGAAGTAGTTCCCACATCTGTAGAGGTGTAGATGTAGATATCCATGGTGTTAGGATCTCTTCCTGAGGCCATTATCTGTTGTCTTTGCCAAGAAACCACAAAGTGGAAACAAGTTGTTTTTCTGTGGTAAGATGTTACTAAAGCTGCACTGGTGATATGTAGATGGGAGGCAAGTGGCTTCAGTGGTGTACAGTGGAAGGTCTCTGAATTATATTCCACAGCTAGAAAAGCTACTAATGTGGAAGCTGATAGCACGACTTAGTAAGAATCCAGAGGTAAATGGTTCCTGCTGTGGGAATATTACAGTTGGCAATTCCAATTGATTCTGGCCTTCGTCCTCTAGTTATAGTAGAGTGATTAAGGGGGAAACACAAAATTACAGGTGAAAAAGACTGGCCTATATAAGGCTGTGTGGCCCCAGCTATTTTGATTACAGGCTAGTCCCCCTTCCCTACTGTTTCTCATGGGCCTTTGCCTTTTAACAGTTCGGAAATCCCACCCCAGCCCCTCTAGGATTCTGTGAGCTCTTAGGGTTTGAACAGGCTAATCCCCCCCACCCCTTAACTGACTCCGAGCTTCACAGTGTTCTATGCTTCCTGGATATCATGTTTTTCTGAAAATCTGAGGAGTGTAGTATGCCTCTGAGGAGTCAGATCAATCTTGCATTTTTTAAATCCAGGAGGGAGCAGAAGGCAAGAGACTTGAGCTGAAAAGGGACTAGGTAAAAATATTTGGTATTTGGACATTGGGGCTAAGTGACTGAATTGCCTTGCAGTCCTGTATTTCTGTGACCTAATGAGTTCCTGAGTGCCAGCATAGGGTCCTTGAGCATACTTGCTAATGTATGTAATTGTGCAATTAACGGGAAGAAATTGCAAGAGCTTTAAAATTCTTCTCCACCAAATTTGTTGTCACCAGATGGTATGTCTGTGGAAATAATGTAGCCTTCAGAAGGCGGATTCCCCATCTTATGGGCCATTAACTGGAGCACAAAATATTTTTAGGCATGCTGTAAGAATGAGTTGATTACACATTTTAGCCAAGTCTTAGTGGGCTGTGTGAACTTTCAGAAGGTACAAAATGTATTTGCAGCTTCTAATTAATTGGCTATTGCTAAATATTTGTAATCATTCCAGAAAGCTTTCCTTGGATAAACAGGATGTGAGCAGCAGGGACCTTGGATAGAATACACATGCCACAGAAAACAGCATGGCCATTTCCTAACCAGTGCAAGAGGCTAATGAAGGTTGAATAGAATTAATTAAGTGACAGCACGTGAACATGCACTCTGGAAGGAGGACAGCAGCTTCCGTTCTTTTATTTTCTATTGTCCTTTCAAACAAGCATTTCAGTGCCTCCTATTGTTTCTGTCCAGCACTCATAAAGGTGATCCATAAGGTGCTGTCCAACATAGTTCATGTTAGATTAAAAATATCGCTTTTGGCAATGCTTATATGTTTGGTTGTACGAAGCCAGCCTCTAGAGAGGCTGTAAAAAACTTCATGTTTGAGGTTGGTTTTTTGGTGTGTTTCTTACCCCAGAGATGGTTAGTATTTTTCAGACTCTCCAATCTAGTACTTTGTAGCTATAACTTTAACTAAATGGTGTGTGTCTGGGGGGAGGGTGTGAGGTTTTCACATACTCTCAAGTGAGTAAGCTCTTAAGATTTTGAAATGCTTACATGGCAGCTCCTATTTAGAGTATCTGGATATTTCTGTGGAAGTCTGTGTAGTCAAAGAACAAGGAAGTCTCCCTAACTGTGGGAGGTGTCATTTCCTTATGTTAAAGCTAGCCAGAATCTGTGGGATGGAAGGGAGCCCATATTTTCTTTGTAAACAATTATACAAATGAGAGAAAAATCAGTTAGTAACCTGGGCTTAGGAGGTAGGAATCAATCAGAAAGCAAAAATAGAAACATAGATTATAAGTGGAGACCCGCAAGAAACTTGCAGGATGGTTATTTCATTCGTCACACCTTTGCTTCCTCTCCTTAGTGCCTACCTCTCTCACACTATTTCTCCCCTCTGCCCCCCTTTTCTTACTCTATTTCTCCTCCATGCATGTGACTTCCCCTCTCTTTCTGACCTGTCATCATTCTCTTTGTTTTTCTGCCTTCCCACTTCATCACTTTCTCTCTCTTTCTGCCCCCCACCCATCATTCTTTCTTTCTGCCCCATCACTCTCCCAGCCTCCTGCCTGCTTCCTCCCCCACTCCGCAGAGCAGCAGCAGTGGTGGTGGCGGTGCTCCCAGCCGCCCATCTGCTTCCTCTCCCTCCACAGCAGCAGTGGCAGCGCTTTGGGAATCACAATGGATCTTCCAGCTACAGAGATCAATTCATTTTAGGGCTGCCAGCTCCAGGTTGGGAAATTCCTGGAGATTTGAGGGTGGAGCCTTGGGATAGTGAGGCTTGGGGAGGCAAGCAGCCTCAGCAGGGTATAGTGTCATAGACTCAACCCTCCAAAGCAGCCATTTTATCCAGGGGAACTCATCTCTGTCACCTGAACAGCATTTGTAATTCTGGGTGATCTCCAGCCCTCAGCTGGAGGCTGGGAATGGTGGTTCATGTGGAGGAAATGGCTGGTTTGGTCTATGGCATTACACCAGTCCAAAGTTCCTCCTCTCCTCAAATCCCACCCTCTCCAGGCTTCACCCCTTAAATGGCTAGGAATTTCCCATCCCTGTGAGGTTGGTTAGGCTGAAATATGTGACTGGTCCAAAATCACGACGTCAGCTACCATTGCAAGACAGGGATTTGAACCTGGGTCTTGCAGATCCTACTTTGAAGCTCTGACTGCTGCACCTCACTGGCTTTCATAGGGTGGCTGCTGATGAACGGTAGCAAGCAGCTGGGCCTAGTTGAGTCATGCAAATCGGGGGGGACCTGGCAACCCTAGACTGCTGCCGGGCCTAGGGTTGCCAATCTCCAAATGGGACATGGAGACCCCCCAGAATTACAACTGGACTCTAGACAGCAGAGGTTTGTCTCCCTGCAGAAAATGGCTGCTTTGGAGGGTGGACTTGGTGGCATTATACCCAGCCTGGCACTGGCAACCCTTGTCAGGCCTAGCCCAAGGCTCCCTCCCTCCCTCCCTCAAAGGCCAAAAGAGGCCTGGAAAGGGCCCTTCTCCCACCTTTTTACTGACAGAGCCAGTTAGACCCCCCCCCAAAAAAAACATTCTAATCTCTCACCGTTGATGCCTGAAGCAGATCCCTGCAGAGGCCATTTCAAAAGGTATTGGGGGAAATTCAACCATCCCTGAAGGGATTTTTTTACTTTTTGGATTTTTCTGCAAACCCAGGAAGTTTCCAGACTATGTAGGAAAAGCTGTTGGGGGAGAGTGAGCCCCCTGTTGGTGGAAATAAGTACCCACACAGAGTGGCTATTAGATATATAGATAACTGGCCTGATACACGTGCTTTGCTATGGCATTTAAGTTCTGTAAACCCAGTTATAATACTGATGATGTGAAGTTTGAAATGTAACATTTGTTGTAGGAATTCTAATGGAGAAGATTGTAGTGTAAGAAATGAAGTGAGACATAAGTACTTTTTTTCTCTCT